CTTCCTGATCAACATAGTCTTGTAGTAGTGTAGTGAAGTCACCTTCGGTGAACTTGCCCTAGTCTAATTTGGCCTGTACATAGCGCCATGTTTCGCTAATCATATCCTTATCCTCCGTAATTGTAAAAGGGGCATCATCATCTTGATAGTTTGTTGAGTTGCCTACGCCATGTATTCCTTCTTGACGGTTATTTGTTGCAATAGTTGGCGCAGTTGCAACGTTTGGTGTATCATCATTCAACTCTGAAGATGAAATTGCAGGATCCTGCCTGTTGTGGTTGTTGCTGTTGTTGTCATCATCAGAGGGATTATCTCTTTCTTCCGGCTTGGTAAGTAACGGACATTCTCGGGAGTCATGAGTAAGAAGACCACATGTAATACAGAAATTACGTAGTCGCTCATACTGAAATCTTAGTACAGTATTCTCTCCCGCAGAGAACTGAAAGTTTCTCTGAAATCGAAGTGGAAGATTTACAGCACAGTTGAGTTTGATACGCACAAAGTCAGTGAGATGAGCCGCTTCTTCATCGAAATCCACATCCGCAACCGAGCCGAGTTTGTGAGCAATGAAATCGACAACAGATCGATTTAGGAGCTGGTGTGGGATTCCTCGTACTTGAATCCAGAATGGTATAGTCGATAAAGCATTTTCGCCTCCGGGATTCCATTTCTCCAATATTAGCATCCATTCGCTAAAAGACCAGGGCCCCCGTCGCAGAACCAGATTAACACATTCCTCCGATTGGAATATGAATTGGAATGTATTGGCGTCGATAATCCTTCCGGTGACAGAATCGCTCATCCCCTAGACCCTTGGAAGTTGACTGATCAGAGCACGAAGGTGTTGTTTTCTGGGATTGACGATTTTGCCGATGATGGCAAAACGATTTGCTTGCAACGCTTGGTGACAAACCATTGAAGGCAATGCAATAGGGTCATCGTCAACTCCCAAATCAATATCTTGAAGGCGGCGTCGTATGTTGTCACTCATGTGAGAAATCTCGTGAGTAACTGGTGTGAATTTTGAGAAGTAAAGCTTGAAATACATAGGTTTTGCCAACCATGGCGGTTTCCAAAAACAACGGAAATTGTGGAGAAAAACGCCAGTGTAACTGCACGGCGGACATAAACCGACATGGAAGATCCATAACTGAATTGGAAACAACCGACGGACAAAAATGCCCTAAAATTTTGATAGAAATTTGCTATGAAAACCTTCGGGGAAATGGGGGAAACGAGAGAGAAAGTTAGAGAGAGAAAGGAGAGAGAGAAACATTCTTTTTGGTAAAAGAGATAACAACAAACATAGAAGAGCAACATACGCAAAAACACTAAAAACTAACCCTAGGAAAGACAAAAACCTAAAAATGCGATTGTTTAAATTTTAGGCTACAAAAAAAAGCAAGAGTATTTATACATACTCGACAACCTAGGGCGACCCAAAAATATTCATAACGAATATATTCAAACAAGGGAAAACATCATTATCCATATAAGTCATAAATAGAACTATTCTTACCCAAATAATTCATATATTCAATTAAAATATTCTTAAGCGAATATTCGATAAAGATATTCATAAACGAATGCACTGGAAAAAGGGAAAATTGTCTTTATCCAAATAATTCATAAATGAAACTATTCATACCTAAATAATTCATATATTCGACTGCCATATAATTCGGTGAATCAAAATAAAGTATCATCCTTATCCAGCTAACCAATCAATACCATCCTTATCCAGTTAAACAATTTAATAAACCGTGTACAACACTAAACCGATAATTATATCACGATTTTCATTAAGGATATCTATTACTAATAAAAGTTGATGCTAAATGCCTTTAAGGGTGTCCACATAGGATTTAAAGATTCAATTCTATTAGTACACATCATCATTATTTTTAGTTAATTGTATATTGTATACTAAAATTAATTAATTTATTTTAATTGTTATAAGGAAAATTTCTAAATTTTAATTAATTTTATTTTTGTTGTTATTAGGAAATTTTCCAATTTTAAGTTAGTTATTAATAAAAAAAGATTTTTGAAAATATATCTTGTTTTTCTATTAACAATTAAAAGGTAAATTAACATATAAATAGATTATGAAAGAAAAATCATATATATTAAACAAAATTATTAAAAACTGTATTTAAGACCATAATTAAATTATTTTAAAATGTTAATCACGACAAACCATTAAAACCTGAACTGCTAACTTATAATATATTAGAAGTGGTCCGTGTTGATGTCTTAGGCCAATGAAAGAAAAAATATATATATTAAACAAAATTATTAAAAACTGTATTTAAGACCATAATTAAATTATTTTAAATTTTTAATCACGACAAACCATTAAAACTGGAACTGCTAACTTAAAATATATTAGTAGTGGTCCGTGTTGATGTATTGGGCCAATGAGAGCGTCTGCATATGACATATATACTCAATCTGATTAGTCTATATCAGCGTTTTTCATTAAACATAAAAAATAAAAAATATATTAATAATTTAAATAAATTAAAACATACAAAAATATAAAATTATCACAATAGAATGGAAAATAAAGATAATTTTTTTAACTAAATAAAATACATTTATGTCAAAAGTCTAAATCTATTGTGAAAATAAAATAGAAACTCATTGACACAAAAACTAAACTAACAAAAACAAATATGTAGATCAATAACAAAAAAATTAAATTAAAAAAAAATTCGCATATATATTTTAAATGAGTAATTTATTTAGAAAAAATATTAAGATTAAGTTTTCATATAAACATATAAAATTGTTATTTATAAATATCAATGCTACCAAAAATAACGTTCATCTTAAATTATCAAAAAAGAAAGTCATCTAAAATTTATAATTTTTGTAGAAATATTTAAAAAAATAACACAAAAATCTTAACAAACCAAAAATGGTACTTTATGCTAATTACTGAAGAAAAAAATATAAAAAAATGTTTAACTAACAAAAACCAAAACATAAATTAATTCTTACAACATGTCAATACAATTACAATGAAAATCCATATCGAAAAAGTTAAATTAACAAAAAAAAAAGAGGATATTAACTTAATATCTATGTTATTTATTTAACAAAATCAATATAAACAGAATAAGTAAGAGAATAAAAAAACAAAAAATAATACTAAAAAACTTAACTAACAAAAATAATATAAATATTTAAGCTAATTATTTAAGAAATTAATATTAAGAAATTAAATAACTAAAAAACTAAAACAAAAAATCAAGTTTTACAAAATATTATTTTTAAAAAAAACACTTAAAATATATTGACTTGATATCTGACTAACTATTTAAAAAATTCATATAAAAATATTTAACTAAGAAAACATTTATGTCTTCAAAATATCAATATTTTAAAAACAACGATGTGTTAAAATAAAATAAAAATCAATATCAAGAGAGGTAAATTATCAAAGTAAAAAGTCGCATAAAGTAAAATTAGCTTGACATTTAGGTTAACTACCAAACAAATATTAACTAAAAAAAGCAAATGATGGTATAAGCTTTTGAGAGAAGTTCACTTAAAATTTAGAATAACCAGTTATAGCATGTAAAAATAACATTTTTATTAATTTAAAAGTAAATTTAACAAAGAAAAAGTATTTATGTAAAAGATATTAGATTAATATATATGCTATGTATTTGAAAAATTAATAACAAAAGAGATTAATTAAAAATATATATATATATATATATGTTTTAAGTATATCAAACCTGCAGAAATTAGATAATGAAAATAAAATATAAAATTACCATTGAAGATATTTAAAATAACAAAAAACAAGATCTAAGAAGAAAATTAGTTTGAAATATAGTTCCAAAAACATTCATGATTTCTAAAACATTGGTGTTGACTATGAATAACCATATAAAGTTTTAATAGGTTATACAAGTTTCTAAATCAAACATATTATTTAAATTTACAAAGATAAATATCTTGGTTGCGTCTGGTTGAAAAAATAACAAAGTAAAATACTATACAAGTAATTTTACATTCAAAATATAATAAGTAATAAAGTCTGATTTGTATACATATCTACTGCTTATAACTTAGTCAACATGAACAACACATGAGCAACATCCTCTAAAATTTTATTTAAATAATATAATATAAAAAAGTTATGAATCAAATTCAAATGAGAATATATGAAGATAAAATATTCAAATCAAAACATGAATAAACACACAAAAGATAAAAAAAACAGTGATAATGTGAAGTCTCAACATCATCTTACATGTTTAAAAACAAATATTAGCAAAGAGTTCACTGCAAATAAAATAGATCATATAAACTGAATATAGATATAACCTAAAATTCGTAGAAGATCTGGTGGAGAAGCCAAAAGCAGCTTTACACGATTAGTGTAGCTTACTAACAAAAGTAAATCGGAATCAACATATATCATACATTATATATGTATATGTACACAACATTAGTGAGACATTTAGCAAAGAAACTAAATATTTAAACATATAAACTTTTAAAAAAATGAACCATAGAAATCCTAAGGATACAAAACAAAACACCAAAAATTTAGTAAGAAAATAATTTTCTAAATCAAACATATGTACATCGAAGTGGGATAATTCGTTAGGTGTCATTACTATGATTTTACTTAATAAGATTTATAATTTTATAAACAAAAATAAGAAATACTACATATTATGTTTTAAATTTTTATATAAAAGAAAATATCTCCAAATATATTATAGTTTTGATAATTTAAAAGATATTAGCCAAAAAATTAAACCAAATTATTAATACAGACTCGCGCGTAGCGCAAGTTAAAAATCTAGTAATTAGAAAAATTGATGCCTAAAGTATGTTGAGACGAATGTGAGCTTGACACCTTGATAATCTACTTCTCAAATAATAGTATAGGATGAAACTATCCATATCCAAATAATTCATATATTCAACTGCCATATAATTCGGTGAATCAAAATAAAGTATCATCCTTATCCAGCTAACCAATCAATATCATATTTATCCAGTTAAACAATTTAATAAACCGTATACAATACTAAACCGATAATTAAATCACGGTTTTCGTTATTATTTTTTTCGTGCAAAAAAGAATAACTTTATAAGCTTTTTGGTGCTTAGATGAATGATGACTACTGAAAATAACGGCCCATCACAAAAATTGGCTATGTTGGGGACTTAAAATCTGGGCCGACTCTGTTACCACCCCTGAAGACAACGGCCCAGTCCAACATTATGTCTATGGCGGTTGAAAGTTTCTCGATTCAAATTTGATCTGAAGTTATCAAATGACGGGAATGATTTTGATTGAACTTTTAGATTGGTTTTTAAGAAATCCAAAAGCTATTAGGTAGATTAAAACTCTTAAAGCTAATGTCGTACCTTAGGGCCTATACAAAAATGCTTTATAACTATAGAGGAAGATTGAAATGTGAGAGATAAATCGATTTTGATCATGTATTTGCGGTTGATTTGAAGCAAGTCTCGTCCGTAGTCGAGTACACATGCACCGTTTGCGAGCTGTTCTAACGCATCCCTGCCATAGATATGTACAGAGACCAAACAGTTATAGTCAATATAGTTTTCGTTTTAATATTGTAACGTTTTTGTAGAGGGAAATAGAGATAGAGATGAACTCCAGTTTCAGATGAACTGACGTAGATCCAGCATATATAAAACCAAATATCAAACTTGTGCTTTTAGATGAGTGAGAGAGAGAGAGAGATAAAGAGAGTGTGTGAGACAATCCAATCAAACAATAAGACAAGAACATTAATCTTCTGCAATAACTTATTTCAAACTGCGACATGGCTTATACTTGTGGTAGCTGAATGGGGGGCTTTTAGCTACAACTTAATCAAGGTTAGCCCTACGAGGCTTTAGTGGTTAATTTATTTATTTTCTTAACTATAAAGTTCGATAATGAGTATTGAAAGCTGTATGAATGATATAAATTGGGATCTTTTGGGGGATTTTGGATAAACTTACAGGTGCATAGGTTGATTCAAGTAATTCATGACCTCCTGCTTTACCCCGTGCATTGGATCATTGAATTGGTTTGGTAACTGAAAAAGAATTGTTTAATAACTTAAGAGGACCACAAAAGAGCATGTAAAGTTTTGATTTTGAAACCTAGATTGGATATGTCTTTTACCTGATTAGATGGACCAGTTTGGTATGGATTTGCAGGGGTTGGCGTTGTTGAATAGCAGTAGCAGTAGCCTGAGTAACAGAGCCACCTGAAGTAGATTGAGGTTAGTATATAACATGAAGAAGCTTTAAGCCGTGGAACAAAGCATAAAAATAGCGGTGAAGAATAGGCTTATACCCGTGACTTGGTGTTGTACATGTGAACAGAGATACACTCGGTAAAGTGGTGAACAATCTCGTTGAAGTCAGTGACAGGCCTGGAATCACAATATTAGACTTGAGTATATATCTTTCAGATGCAGCAAGTTCATTCACTCGGAGAAGAATAATAGAAGATATAACATGTTAAGCCACAGAGGAATATCATAGATCAGCTAGAAATTTCAAATGTATAGAAATCTGATTGGAATTGGTTCGCTGACGAGTACATCATAGTCAGATCAATATAGTACGTCAAGGAAACAAAGGTACCTGACTGAGAAAACATTCACAGATCGCTTCCCCTGGAAATTTTTAAGGTGTCCATGTAGGCGAACATACATTCCCAGCCTGTAGCAGATGTAGACTATGAAAACGGGAAACTATACTAAATCAACGAATCTAAAAATGTTTTTCTGAAACATACCTGACTGCTTCCACTTCAGTTTCTTGACGTTCATAACACCTGCAGACTATTGTTCACAACGAATTAGCAAGATAAAGTTGAGCTTTTATGACAGCATTTTCATATTGTACTTCTATTAGAATCTGAAGAAAAAAAATGAAGAACTTACCAGCAGTTATATTCAATGCAGCCTGTACCATCATCTACAACAAAGTCAACTTGGGTGATTATGTTCTCCATTCTAGCAACTCGTCCAACAATTGCAACCTAAACACAGGCAACACAAAATTCAAATGCTCAACTCATTAGACTTCAATTCTATAGCTGGAATACTACTTGACAGCAAGGTCGAGATCTGATATAATACCAAAGTACAGAATCTATAGATGTACAACAGAATCATACTTGACTAAACTTGACTCAATAGACTGCAAAAAATGTAAGAGGGCAAAATATATCAGCAAACAAGAGTAACTGCTGAAGAAAAAAGAGCTTACGGTGTTAATGTCAACGCCGTCTATGGAGAAGTTTGATTCACCATTGGTTGATACGCTATTCAACTGCTTCAGTGTCAGGGGAAGCAAGGTACTTACATCGCGGTTCTGCAAAACAGTGGTGAAAACTCACAAAATTTTAAATGCTGCTCAATATACAGTGTCTATATCCAGATTCACGACTCCACAAACAGATAACTATTATATTGACATGCATAGATTTGTGATAGATGCAAAAGTCACAAAGACATCTACATTTCCAGATCTCTCAATGTGTTCTTTGATACTTTTCAGCCATGTGAAATTTCCTAGAAAAATCAAATGGAACTATCATAACTTTTATGCTAATTCTCCCTACAAACGACTTGAATTCGAGAGAATCGGATGCATAATACAAGTAAACAGTGCGAAAGTACGAGAAAACTTCGGTAGAATCTGAATCGCGTTATATAAATTTTCAATAGCACAACAATGCGGAAAGGATTTATCAAATTCCTCAATGGCGAAGAAGAAGAATAGAGAGGCCAAACCTTGAAGGACGATGCAAAGTTGCGTAGTTGTCTGTGAAGGCATGAAACCGCCGCCGGCGAAAGCGGCGTTGCTGTCAAACTTGTTCTCTGATCGATTGCTCGTCGTCTCCTCCTTCGTCTCTCTCGATTTTGGAATACATCGAGTACGAGTTTTTTGGATTTTAGTGAAACAAATTTTTCATCCGAAATATAAAAGTAATTGAATCGGGAGAAGAGACGCTTCTGTTACTATTCGAAATCACACGGATCGATGACTTGTGATAGGATTGACCGTGGATTGAATAAAAATCTACTTATTATCTAACGGTCACTACGTAATCTCCGAAATCCGGCTCATGTCAACTTGCTCTCCCTTATATATACTAGTGGTTCGCCAGGAATAAATGTTCGTCTATATCTATCTCTATCTCTCTCATTTGATCAAAAATGGATCGCACTAAAGAGACGTTGGTTCTGCACCTTTTTCTCGCCTCCATGTATGGGACTCTATTCTCGTTGTATGGAATGGATCTAGATGTGATCCTTGCGGATGTCAACAACTCGATGGCGGAGGGTCACCACATACCGGCGTCAACGAAGATGGCCGTGTCGAGGTTCCGCACCACATTTTGCGTGGCCGGCTCAGTTCACGGCGCTGTCTTCCTAGCTTTGTACCCGACGAATCCAGATTACATAAAAACAGCCATTGTTGTGGAGTACGGATCGGTGGTAGTGGGTTGTATCGCCGTCGCAGTCATAGCGTTCCTCACGGACTCAACGGGTTCGTTTATAGTCACGGCCCTTCTCATAGTATTGATCGCTGCATACAGTATTTATATGATGGTGCGTAAGTTTCGTGAGCATGCCGAAGCAATTCTTCCGGTGGTTAATCCAGTGATAATTGATCCAGTTCCACCGGTAAAAGTACTTGAGAGTGTGGCTTCTAAGAAAGAATAAGGAGAAGGCGCGTGGGATTCGGCTTGGGCGCGTGTGTTTTTTAATTGATTTTTTTTTTATTCGTCGTTTTTATAATTTTCTTGTTATTGCTCAAAATGTTATTGCTCTAACCGTTGGATCTTATCGGTTATTTTGTATTTGTAAGTTTCAATCCAATTATAATATGATGTGCCGTTCGATATTCCAGATGACACATCAGCCTAAAAAAAAAGAAAAAGAAAAAATTCAGTCAAACCAAAAAGAATTATACAGAAGCGTCTCTTCTCCCGATTCAATTACTTTTATATTTCGGATAAAAAATTTGTTTCACTAAAATCCAAAAAACTCGTACTCGATGTATTCCAAAATCGAGAGAGACGAAGGAGGAGACGACGAGCAATCGATCAGAGAACAAGTTTGACAGCAACGCCGCTTTCGCCGGCGGCGGTTTCATGCCTTCACAGACAACTACGCAACTTTGCATCGTCCTTCAAGGTTTGGCCTCTCTATTCTTCTTCTTCGCCATTGAGGAATTTGATAAATCCTTTCCGCATTGTTGTGCTATTGAAAATTTATATAACGCGATTCAGATTCTACCGAAGTTTTCTCGTACTTTCGCACTGTTTACTTGTATTATGCATCCGATTCTCTCGAATTCAAGTCGTTTGTAGGGAGAATTAGCATAAAAGTTATGATAGTTCCATTTGATTTTTCTAGGAAATTTCACATGGCTGAAAAGTATCAAAGAACACATTGAGAGATCTGGAAATGTAGATGTCTTTGTGACTTTTGCATCTATCACAAATCTATGCATGTCAATATAATAGTTATCTGTTTGTGGAGTCGTGAATCTGGATATAGACACTGTATATTGAGCAGCATTTAAAATTTTGTGAGTTTTCACCACTGTTTTGCAGAACCGCGATGTAAGTACCTTGCTTCCCCTGACACTGAAGCAGTTGAATAGCGTATCAACCAATGGTGAATCAAACTTCTCCATAGACGGCGTTGACATTAACACCGTAAGCTCTTTTTTCTTCAGCAGTTACTCTTGTTTGCTGATATATTTTGCCCTCTTACATTTTTTGCAGTCTATTGAGTCAAGTTTAGTCAAGTATGATTCTGTTGTACATCTATAGATTCTGTACTTTGGTATTATATCAGATCTCGACCTTGCTGTCAAGTAGTATTCCAGCTATAGAATTGAAGTCTAATGAGTTGAGCATTTGAATTTTGTGTTGCCTGTGTTTAGGTTGCAATTGTTGGACGAGTTGCTAGAATGGAGAACATAATCACCCAAGTTGACTTTGTTGTAGATGATGGTACAGGCTGCATTGAATATAACTGCTGGTAAGTTCTTCATTTTTTTCTTCAGATTCTAATAGAAGTACAATATGAAAATGCTGTCATAAAAGCTCAACTTTATCTTGCTAATTCGTTGTGAACAATAGTCTGCAGGTGTTATGAACGTCAAGAAACTGAAGTGGAAGCAGTCAGGTATGTTTCAGAAAAACATTTTTAGATTCGTTGATTTAGTATAGTTTCCCGTTTTCATAGTCTACATCTGCTACAGGCTGGGAATGTATGTTCGCCTACATGGACACCTTAAAAATTTCCAGGGGAAGCGATCTGTGAATGTTTTCTCAGTCAGGTACCTTTGTTTCCTTGACGTACTATATTGATCTGACTATGATGTACTCGTCAGCGAACCAATTCCAATCAGATTTCTATACATTTGAAATTTCTAGCTGATCTATGATATTCCTCTGTGGCTTAACATGTTATATCTTCTATTATTCTTCTCCGAGTGAATGAACTTGCTGCATCTGAAAGATATATACTCAAGTCTAATATTGTGATTCCAGGCCTGTCACTGACTTCAACGAGATTGTTCACCACTTTACCGAGTGTATCTCTGTTCACATGTACAACACCAAGTCACGGGTATAAGCCTATTCTTCACCGCTATTTTTATGCTTTGTTCCACGGCTTAAAGCTTCTTCATGTTATATACTAACCTCAATCTACTTCAGGTGGCTCTGTTACTCAGGCTACTGCTACTGCTATTCAACAACGCCAACCCCTGCAAATCCATACCAAACTGGTCCATCTAATCAGGTAAAAGACATATCCAATCTAGGTTTCAAAATCAAAACTTTACATGCTCTTTTGTGGTCCTCTTAAGTTATTAAACAATTCTTTTTCAGTTACCAAACCAATTCAATGATCCAATGCACGGGGTAAAGCAGGAGGTCATGAATTACTTGAATCAACCTATGCACCTGTAAGTTTATCCAAAATCCCCCAAAAGATCCCAATTTATATCATTCATACAGCTTTCAATACTCATTATCGAACTTTATAGTTAAGAAAATAAATAAATTAACCACTAAAGCCTCGTAGGGCTAACCTTGATTAAGTTGTAGCTAAAAGCCCCCCATTCAGCTACCACAAGTATAAGCCATGTCGCAGTTTGAAATAAGTTATTGCAGAAGATTAATGTTCTTGTCTTATTGTTTGATTGGATTGTCTCACACACTCTCTTTATCTCTCTCTCTCTCTCACTCATCTAAAAGCACAAGTTTGATATTTGGTTTTATATATGCTGGATCTACGTCAGTTCATCTGAAACTGGAGTTCATCTCTATCTCTATTTCCCTCTACAAAAACGTTACAATATTAAAACGAAAAACTATATTGACTATAACTGTTTGGTCTCTGTACATATCTATGGCAGGGATGCGTTAGAACAGCTCGCAAACGGTGCATGTGTACTCGACTACGGACGAGACTTGCTTCAAATCAACCGCAAATACATGATCAAAATCGATTTATCTCTCACATTTCAATCTTCCTCTATAGTTATAAAGCATTTTTGTATAGGCCCTAAGGTACGACATTAGCTTTAAGAGTTTTAATCTACCTAATAGCTTTTGGATTTCTTAAAAACCAATCTAAAAGTTCAATCAAAATCATTCCCGTCATTTGATAACTTCAGATCAAATTTGAATCGAGAAACTTTCAACCGCCATAGACATAATGTTGGACTGGGCCGTTGTCTTCAGGGGTGGTAACAGAGTCGGCCCAGATTTTAAGTCCCCAACATAGCTAATTTTTGTGATGGGCCGTTATTTTCAGTAGTCATCATTCATCTAAGCACCAAAAAACTTATAAAGTTATTCTTTTTTACACGAAAAAAATAATAACGAAAAGTTAGTATTGTACACGGTTTATTAAATTGTTTAATTGGATAAATATGATATTGATTGGTTAGCTGGATAAGGATGATATTTTATTTCGATTCACCGAATTATATGGCAGTTGAATATATGAATTACTTGGATATAGATAGTTTTATTTTATACTATTATTTGAGAAGTAGAATTCTGAGGTGTCAAGTTCATGTTCGTCTCAGTAAATTCTAGGCATCAATTATTCTAATTATATCCTTAATAAAAACCGTGATATAATTATCGGTTTAGTGTTGTACACAGTTTATTAAATTGTTTAACTGGATAAGGATGATATTGATTGGTTAGCTGGATAAAGATGATACTTTATTTCGATTCACCAAATTATATGGCAGTCGAATATATGAATTATTTGGGTATGGATAGTTTCATTTATAAATTATTTGGATAAGGACGGTTTTTCCATTTTTAGGTTTTTGTCTTTCCCAGAGTTAGTTTTTAGTGTTTTCGTGTATGTTGCTCTTCTATGTTTGTGTTTGATATATATGTATATATCGCTTTCATAGCGTCTTAGTTGATTATAGCTCGTGATGTTTTCATACTCGTATTTTGTTCGTCTAAATGATTCTAACTCGTTTTGTTTTCTTTGTATAGGCTATTGATCGCCGCTAACTTTGGTGTAGTTATTATGTTTTCGAAATGTTTTGCTCTTTTATGTTTGCATATCTATATGTATACTGTTTTCTTATCGTCTTGAATTATTATAGCTTGTGTTTTTTCCATATTCGTGTTTTGTTCGTGTCGATGATTCTAACTTGTGTTGTTTTCGTGTTTGTGTTTTCTTTTTATAGGCTATTGGTCGCTGTTGCTTGGTCTACTGGTTATCAAGGTAGGTTTGATGTAGTTATTGTGCTTTCTTAGACTTTGTTCTTTAAGTTTTTGTATCTATATATATATTTTTTTAATCGCCTTAAATTATTATAGCTCGTAATTTGTTCGTACTTGTGGTTGGGTCGTCTAGATGATTCTAACTGTGGTTGGTTTTCATGTTTGTGTTTTTTTTGTATAGGTTGCCGATTGCTGCTACTTGGTTTTCTAGTTATCAAGGTAAGTTTGGCATGACGCATAATCTCTTTATTTGGCTTATTCTTAGATAATATTTATTTTTGAACTTAAAGAACAATACATGGTCCATGTGGTGAGGTTAATAAAACTAATGTGTCCATGAATCAAGGTAAATATACCAAGTTTTATCCCAAACCTTGTAGCGCGATAACAAAAATTGATGATGGTGGCTTCCCTATTTACAAGCGTGGAAGTAATGATAGAACTATCCGCAAGAAGGGATTTGATTGTGACAATAGATATGTGGTGCCGTACAACAAGGACCTTCTGGGTCATTTCCGAGCTCATATAAATGTTAAGTGGTGCAATCAAACGAGGCCAATCAAGTATCTATTCAAGTACATTACCAATGGTCCTGACTATATTGGTGCTTTTGTTGAACAAGATGATACTGTTGATAATGAAGTTAAAAAGTTCCTCACCTGCAGATTTGTGTGTATTAATTACGTGGTTTTATTGTTTGGTTACTGAATGGAATTTATACAATATCGCCGTGCATGTGATTTTTTTGTTTTTTCAGATATATCTCAGCATGCGAGGCAAATTGGAGAATATTAGCTTTCCCAACTCATTTTTGTTCGATGATTGTTGTTAATCTCTCTTTCCATGTACCGGGTCAGCAAATGGTTGTTTATAACGAAGATGATTCTATTGACGATGTTATACACCGTGCATTTGTGACTCGGTCTAAGTTTATGGCTTGGATGGAAGCAAATAGTAAATTTTCGGAGGCAGAAGAGTTGACTTATGCTGATTTCCCGACAAAGTTCGTTTGGGTACAGAAGACTAGGGAGTTGAAGCTACGCGAACGAGGCTTTGCCATTGGAAGAATTACATACGTTCCTCCCAATTATGTTCAGTGTTACTACATGCATGTTTTGCTGAGCATTGTCAAATGACCGAAGAGTTATAAAGATATATGAACCATCAAAGGTGTTGTTTATGCTTCGTACAAAGAAGCTTGCTACACCTTGGAATTGCTGGACGATGATAAAGAGTATATTTCGACTGTCGAAGAGGCAAGTTTTTGGGGCTCAGGGAAATATTTACGCAGGCTGTTTGCTATGCTGCTATCTAATAGCATTTCTGAGCCAGTTAATGTGTGGAACAAGACATGGCAGATCCTGAGCGAGGATATATTATATACGCTCAAGAAAAAGTAAGTCGTTTCTTCGTTTTACACATATTGTTGTAATGCTGGGTCAGTGAATAAAGGCTGATATTTGTTTCATTTTGTGTGGATTTTGCAATGACCGATGATGATTTGAAGAGGTGTGCACTTTCTAAAATAGAGAAATACCTTCGTCGAAATGATAATTCGTTGACCAACTACGATGGCATGCCTCATGTTGTGGACGATGACATAGATAAGACTATTAATCATATTTCAATGGACGAGCACAGTTATAATAGAGACCAGCTCAAGGCCGAGCATATGCGGTTACCCGCGACCATAACAGATGAACAAAAATGGGTTAAAGATAAGATTATACATGCTGTTAATCATGATGAGGGTGGTATATTTTTTGTTTGCGGTTTTGGTGGTACTGGCAAAACATTTATGTGGAGTGTATTGGGATCTGATATTCGCTCTAGAGGCGATATCGTACTAAACGTGTCATCAAGTGGCATTGCTTCTTTGTTGCTCCAAAGAGGAAGGACTGCTCATTCTAGGTTTGGCATTTCAATCGCTGTTAACAAATTTACAACATGCTCAATTACTGCGGGATCCCATCAGGCAGAATTGATCAAGGAAGCCAAACTGATTATTTGGGATGAGGCACCGATGATGAGTAAACATTGCTTTGAGACGTTGGATAGAACAATAAGGGACATTCTGAAATGTGACAGAGTGTTTGGTGGCAAAGTTGTTGTGTTCGATGGATATTTTAGACAGATATTACCAGTGATTGTTGGTGGTAATCGAGTCGAAACCGTCATGTCATCTCTGAACTCTTCGGCGTTGTAAAGCAGTTATACGGTTTTGAGACTTACCACGAATATGCGTCTTCTTCGCGGTGTTGGTGCAAATAATGCCCGGGAACTGGAGTCTTTTTCAAAATGGATACTTGCTATAGGTGACGGAAAGATCAACGAGCCTAACACTAGGGAGGTTGAAATAGATATACCAGATGATTTGCTGATAACTGGGAGTGGAGATCCTATGGAGAAAATTTTCCAAGAAGTGTATGGCCATTCATATGCAAGCGAGTGGGATCCGTTATTTTCTCAGGGGCGAGCTATTCTAAGCCCAAGGAATTCTGACGTCGACGTTATAAATGAGTATATGTTATCTCGCGTAATAGGTAACATTTACTGTTTCCTATATGGTTTGGTTTGGTTAAGGTGCTTTTGCTTAATTTTTTGTTTTTGTTTTTGTTATAGGCGAGGAACATTTGTACCTTAGTTCAGATAGTATTGATACGTCGAAAACAAGTAAAAATGACGATATAGTTTACACCCAAGAATACCTGAATAGCATAAAAGTTCTGGTTTGCCCAATCATGAGCTAAAGCTGAAGATAAGGACTCCTATTATGTTACTAAGGAATATCGATCCTCGGGGTGGTTTGTGCAACGGAACGACGTTACTTGTAACGCAACTTGCGGCGCATGTGATTGAAGTTAAACTTATCACAGGGGACAGGGTTGGACAGAAAGTATTGATTCCAAGGATGTTTGTTTCGCCACCTGAGACTAGGTTTCCATTCAGGATGTGTCGTTGACAGTTTCATGTTGCTGTTGCTTTTGTGATGACTATAAATAAGAGTCAGGGTCAGACTCTACAAAAAGTTGGTATTTTTTTGCCAAGACCTGTGTTTTCCCATGGTCAGCTATACGTCGCTGTCTCTAGAGTAACATCGTGTGCCGGTTTGAAGATCTTGATAACTGACGAAGCTGAGAAACCAAAGAAACATATTTTTAACGTTGTCTACAAGGAAGTGTTTGAGAACATCTCGATTTTTGATTTTTGTTCTGCATATTGAACTTGGTCTGAGATTGTTTTTGGTTCTGGGTTTGTTTTGGTTATGGATTTTCATCGTTTTGGTTTGGTTCTTGGTCTCGGTTTTGGTTAGTATTGCACGCTTATTATTCTATTTATATTTATGAACTAATTATTCTATCTTGGTATTTGTATTTTATACATAAAACAGAGCTGACGTTTATTCTTTCAAAATAAATTTATAGGAATTTGTTTGCATATAAATATAGCTAATAAGCATTGACGCTATAAACAAGAAAACTGGATATTAATATTGTAATTGTCGATACACTCTATGCTTCTTATTTCATATAACGAGTGTTCTTTGGTTTAGACTTTGGTTGTTTTGGCATTCCTGCTACGATAACATTCTTAAAAGTCTCAGAAATAGACACTTGTGTTGTGGATCCATCTCTTGAAATTAAACTGTCGAAGAAATGGCGTGCTAAGGATAGGAATCGTCGGCCTAAACTAAAGATAATCTTCTTTGACATGCATGTATATTCACTCATCCTTGCTTTAAATGCGTTTCCCGTCTCCTAAGATTTACTTGTGTCCAGTTGTAATGACTATAGTGTTTATAGGGGTCGATGATACAAGCTTCGATTGGAAACAAGTACCTTCATTTGTTTGAAGACTTTATCGAAGGAAAATGGGAGCTCTTGAGAGGTTTCGTAGTAAAAACTTCCAATGCTTTCATTTGAATAGCACGATATTATTTCAAACTGAAGTTTGTTATAAACACTAGATTTATTTCTGTGCCTGGTCCCGAAGGTGGGTTATTATTGGCATCAGTTGATTTTGGGGATGTTATTGGAAGTCGAATGGATGTCACCTATGCTATCTGTAAATTTTTATTCAGTGATAATATTAGTTTTTGTGTTGAATAAACAAAGAAAACAATAAGAGTTTCATTATTTTGTGTTGTTGTTTGTTATATTTAATTGGCGTTCTTAAAAACGTCGATGAGCTCGAGATTTTTGATGAGAGTAAAATTCAAGATGATTATGCTATGATCCCTTGTGATCTCCAAGATGACAAGTAAGGTTATTATTTGTTTCCGCATCATATTAACGATTCGTTGCTATTCTATAACGCCTTTTTCTATAGGAAACATGTAATTGAATGTTGCGCGATGGGACAAGTAGCTGAAGAGTTCGCCTTGCAATAGTCCCAAAACTGTGATGAAGAGGTTATTTGTGTGCTTAGATGGTGGTACATCAACAAACAATATGAAGGTATTATGAGTAATATAATACACCGGGCTATGTTTGTTGGTTCGTGTGGGTTGTCTTGTGATCTTATTTTTTTTTTTTTTAGGTATTATTAATGTTATTGCAATGAAGAAATATTGCGAGTTCTATTTCAATGCCTATGTTCCTGATGTTCACCGTTTCCGTGATAGGTAACGACATAGTAAACAAAATAAAACAGTTTAGTTAATTGCTACTTATATCCTTATACATATTATAAATTTTTACTACAGGTTACGATGTGATGAAGAGGTATCGACCGCAAGCTCTAGATCGAATGAACAGTAATAAGAATGCATGTTTCCCATTATTGTTTCAAGAATGCTATTCGAACTATTTGATTCTGTTTCGTGGTGTTTTTGAGCATATATGACAATATTTAAAACAATTGTTTATTATGCTTTGATATTATTCAAAACAATTGTTTATTATGTGATTCGGCACATGCATGGTGCGAGCGAGACACCTAGTAATATATTACGTTACAACCTGAACTAGGCTCGAGCTTGCTAGACTTGTCCACTGGAGCTGTTCAAGGGGTTAAAGTTAATGTCCGGGAAATCTGATTTTTATATCTATATTTTAATAGTTGTGATGAAATGTTATATGGAAAAACAAGACTCATAATAAACTGTAGTGATTTGCTAAATAGTTTTGAATATGATTTTATTTTTTTCTTTTAACCTTCATAATTTTTTTTGTTTTTTATTTTTATATATTAGATTCAAAATAGACAACAAGATGATTTCACTTCTATTTGCAAAGAAGTTGTATCTTTTTGTTTTGTTTTTGTTAAAAAATTGTATTTACTTGGCGTCAATTTATTCATGTTGTTTGCTGTAAGAAGAAAATATTTAAGATTAGTTAGTAAATTTTAAACTAATTATATTATAATTTCTGTATTGTTCAATTAATCATGTATAGATTGGAAGATAATTTAAAGGCATGATGACAATAAAATAATATATTAATCATATGTAAATCAAAAATATATAATAGTATGTGAACCCGCGTGTACAAACGGGGTATCATCTAGTCTTCCTAATAAGTATTGTAGGTACTTTGTACGGCTTAGGATTATATGACTTCGATTTGATATCTAATTCCTCCGTTAACACATCACAAAAAGAAATCACCCATCATAAGCACACACTCAGAGTTCACAGCGACATCAGGTAAAGTGATGTCACATTGAGTAACTTTTATCGAATACAATTTACCAATTAAGTTTACATTAGTAGAGACCCTCAACTAATGAAAAGAGAGATCAATACTCTATCATTGGTGCAGTGAAACTGGGCCGATCTAATGCCAGAGGGAAGCAATTGCTCAATTCAAAGCTTAGCGAAGCTACGATTATGGCGATACCACAAAAATTGTTTGTTTCGGAGGATGGAGAAGCTGCGACGATGTTGACGCCATACCCAGCCTCAGCAAGTGATTCACAATACGCAGACGTTGAGGAAAGCGAAAAGAATATGAGGTTCTTAAAAGGCGAATATGAAAGATTGAATGTCGCGAGGAAGGAGACAGAGACAGGAATCGACAGTAAATTGGCAAATTTGGATGATAAAATATCGAGTCTAGATGGTAAAATAGATTCGATCCTACACCTTTTGGAGCGTAATGATTCTCAGAAACCAGATTCTTCACGAACACAATCTCAGGTATGGAACTCGAATCGAGAACAATACCGGAATGACATGTTGGATAAGCTTTGACAACAAACAACCTAAGTTGCCTAAACCAAGTTAGTTTAAGATAATAAAGATTGTTGTAATCCTAATAGATTTAGGAGTTATCTATTTCTATTTGGAATAGGATTAGCAAAGATGTGTTAAGCCTATAAATAACATCTATGTCGAGTTATGACAAGGTGTGAGAAGAGTTGTGTTTAGTTTTGAGCTATTTTCTAAACATAATAAAGATAGTCATTCTTTATATTTTGTTCTTGAGAACCTTTATTTAGTATCAGAGCTTTAGGATAATCGATCCTAAAGCCTTAAGAAAAGCTCCTTAAAACGACAAGAGGAAAAGCATTCCCGAGCTATGGGAGACATCGTTCCTGCGGCTCATTTAAAGGAAGCTATTCCATCCTCAATCCAATGCCCGATGCTAACACCTACGAACTATACAGTGTGGACCATAAGGATGAAGGTCATGCTGCGTATCCACAAGGTCTGGGAGACTATTGAACCTGGTTCACTAGCCCTAGATAAGAATGATATCGCAATAGGCATGTTATTCCAATCCAATCCGGAAGCCCTTATTCTACAAGTTGGGGAACAAGAGTCTCCAAAAGCGATTTGGGAATCAATAAGAACCCGATACTTAGGTGCTGAGCATGTCAAGGATGCAAGACTTCAAACTCTTATGTCGGAGTTTGCGAGGATTCGTATGTCAGACACAGAGACAATCGATACCTTCTCCGGAAAGATATCGGAGATAGCCTCGAAATCAGCAGCTCTCAGACAGATGATTGATTAGCCAAAACTTGTGAAAAAGTTTCTAAACAGCTTGCCGAGAAAGAAGTATATCCATCTGATAGCTTCACTTGAGCAAGTGCTGGACTTGAACAAGGCCAGTTTTGAAGACATAGTGGGAAGACTCAAAGCGTACGAAGGAAGAGTTCTTGACGAGGAGATTCATAGCGAGAATCAAGAGAAGGTCTTGTACGCCAATTCAGAAGAACGAGACTCAACATCAACACGAGGCAAAGGACGGGGCAAAGGCGGAAAAGGACGAAACAAAGATCATAACTCGCAAGAGAAAACAGACCAAAATCGATCGAAGGAAAAGAAAGATAGATCGAAAGTAATATGTTACAAGTGCGAGAAACCAGGACAATTTGCCTCTAGATATCCTGAACGAACACAGAAACATAATCAAGCAAACAAGACTGAAACAGAGGAGGCTGATGCAGCACTCTATTTGCACGAGATGGTGTTCTTAAACGAAGAAAACGTACTTCCCAAGAATCTTGAAGATAGCAGAGTAGAAGAGGGATTGTAGTATCTCGACAACGGCGCGAGTAACCATATGATGGGAAACAAGAAATTCTTCTCGGAGCTGAACGAGAATATAAGAGGGAAGGTGAAGTTTGGCGACGGCTCGTGTATCGAAATAGGGGGAAAAGGTTCGATCCTATTTCAAAGCAAGACCGATGAACAGAAACTTGTCTCGGACATCTACTATATACCAGAACTCAAGAGCAACATCCTAAGTCTAGGACAAGCAACAGAAGCTGGATGCAATGTGAGAATGAGACAGAACTTAATTACGGTTCATGATCCACAAGGTAAACTTTTGGTGAATGTAAATCGATCACCAAACAGATTGTACAAGATTAAGTTGACAATTAGGAAGCCGGTGTGTTTGAAATCAAGTATAGAGGATACTACTTGGAGGTGGCACCCACGATTGGGACATATAAACTTCAACACTTTGAAGACTATGTCACAACAAAAGATGGTTCATGGATTGCCAGAAGTTAGAGAAGAGAAGTGACTGTGTGAATCATGCTTGGTGGACAAGCAAACACGCCAATCGTTCCCAAAAGCAACCACGTACCGTGCAACGAAACCACTTGAGCTCCTACATGCCGACCTGTGCGGACCTATAACTCCTGCAACCGCAGCTGCCAATAGGTATATATTCGTCATAATCGATGATTTCTCAAGATACATGTGGACCATCTTGATGAAAGAAAAGAGCGAGGCGTTTGGAAGGTTCAAAGTGTTTCGGAACATGATAGAGAAAGAATTAGGAAAGAAAATCCTAACTCTAAGAACCGATAGGGGTGGAGAATTCAAATCAATGGATTTTAAAGCCTACTGCAACAACAACAGCATCAAGAGACACTTAACCGCACCCTACAGACCTCAACAAAACGGCGTTGTAGAGAGAAAAAACAGAACTCTTATGGAGATGGCGAGAAGCGTTCTCAAAGCTATGAGAGTACCTAATTACTTATGGGGGGAAGCAGTTCGACATTCGACCTACATAATTAATAGAGTACCGACGAAAGCTTTGACAAAGATGACGCCATACGAGAGCCTGCGAGGGAAGAAGCCGAACGTTGGACATGTGAGAATCTTCGGATGTCTTGCATATTCAAAGATTGACGCGCATCTGACCAAAAAATTAGATGATCGCTCTATACCCCTGGTAAATCTTGGGATTGAACCAGGATCCAAAGCGTATAGGCTTTATAATCCGACCACGCAGAAAATTGTGGTAAGTCGTGATGTAGTTTTTGACGAAGCAAACGGCTGGAACTGGAACGAGACAAATGAAGGATCCACAAGGAATCCAGGAATGTTCCATATGCGATGGGGATCAACAATCGACGAGGGAGAAGGACCAGCGATCGTTGGCGAAGATCTTCCCGATCAAGATAGGGATACGGGAGAAGAAGAACCCCTAAGTCCGCAAAGCCGTGAACAAACGAACGAGGGAGCTACACCACATTAGTCCCTGCTTAACATTCAACAACCACAGCCACTAAGAAGATCTACACGAGAATCAAATCTTCCAAGCTACCTTGAAGATTATTATCTAAAGGATGATTACGCACTACAAGCTGATGTAGAGTGTGAAAGACTACTTTTGATGATCAATGATGAGCCACGGTCCTTTAGAGAAGCTAAGGATACTTTGGAGTGGAACTTAGCGTGTAACGAAGAAATTGACTCCATCAACAAAAACAAAACTTGGCGTTTGGTGGATAAACCGCACGAGACAAAAGTGATTGGACTCAAGTGGATATTCAAGATAAAGAAGAATGCTGATGGAACAATTAACAAGTACAAAGCTAGGTTAGTGGCGAAAGGCTATGTACAAGAGAACAGTATAGACTTCGACGAAGTCCTCGCGCCAGTTGTGAGGTTGGAAATAATAAGGCTGCTGATTGCGCTATCTGCTTCACATGGATGGGAAGTACATCATCTGGATGTTAAAACGGCGTTCCTACATGGCGAACTAAAGGAGGATGTGTATGTGACACAACCCGAGGGATTCATAGTAAAGGGACAGGAGCATAAGGTCTACAAACTTTCAAAAGCTTTGTATGGTCTAAGACAGGCTCCAAGAGCTTGGAACACTAAGCTGAACCAAATTCTTCAGGGAATGAGATTTAAGAGATGCTCTAAGGAGACTTCAGTGTATCGCAAGGAAGAGGGAGATACACTATTAATTGTTGCTATCTATGTTGATGACTTATTTGTAACAGGTAATACAAGCAAGGTTATAAGCGATTTCAAGCATGGAACGTAGTTTGAGATGTCTGATCTCGGAAGGCTAACATATTATCTAGGCATGGAAGTACAGCAAGGAGATGACGGGATCAAAATCAAACAAGAAGCCTATGCAAGATGGATCCTGAAAGAAGCTGGTCTTGATACTTGTAACCCAACTCAAGTTCCAATGGAGTTTGGTTTAAAAGTCTCAAAGGCATTAGAAGAAGACAAGATAGATCCCACCGCATACAGAAGAAACGTGGGCTGCCTACGGTATCTACTGCACACTCGACCTGATCTAGCATTTTTGGTTGGTGTTGCAAGTAGAT